AACTGAGCAAGCTAACGAACAAGCAGTCCACCAAAGCTAACCAAATGCAAGAGTTCTCACTGAAAAAATGGAAACAACTACAGAAAATAACAATGTATGTTTTCACAAATTGATTTGCCCTTTATTTGTTTAATATACCTTGACAATCAATAATTTCCATATTTTACCAATTATGAGACTTCCTTCATTTAGCACAAGTGACTCATTCCCTTTTCCAGTCATTTCTCATTACTAATCTCCATTAACTTTGTTAGGTTTCCAAGGGAGCATCTTTGTGCCCTCATATAGCTCTTTGTAACTCAAGCAGGTTCCCCTCAGATACTTCCAAAGCTTTCCTAAGTTCCTCTAAGTTTCTTTGAAATACTGTCTTACTGGTTAAAAAAAAACTGAACATGCTAACCCTGCAAGCCTAAGCAGATGTGATCTGTACATCAGACTACCTGGTAATCTTCCACTGCTTCCTTGTATTGCTGTTTTTGCAACTGCACTGCAAACTCTTTGGGAGACAGGATGTTTTTCCATTGCTAAATTATCCCAAACAAGTCCTGATCCATCATTAAGATCACAAAGCACAACAATTACAAAAATAAAAGACCTGTTGGCATTCTGTCAGTGGTTATTGCTGTCCATACAGTTAAACTAACTCTCATACTTAAGTGACCCAATTTCACAGGTACAGCCATTTCAAAGAAAAGCAAAGTCCAAATATACTGTCTTAAGGACACTTTCAAAGACACCAGAGTGGGTTCAGATCCTACCAGCTTTGAAAGTTGGTAGGAGCTGGGAAGAAGAACATAGTGAACACAGGTTTTGTGCAGCCATGCTACAGGGCTTCCAGTTGTCAGGATACTCACCTAGATTTTTCTTCCTCTGGTCTCTCTGCTTCATTTTCATCTACCATAAGAAAAAAGAAACACAATATTTAAGAATAAAATCCCTAGGGTATCAACTGTGACAGATTATCTTGGGATGTAGAATATTAGGCAAGTCTTTAGAGACACATTGACTATCGAGACATATGCTTAACATTTCAGTTGTGAAATCAGTCGAGCAGACCCCTAAGTAAGTACAGTGCTCCGCACTGACAGGTCCACCACATGGGCAAGGTATAGTTTATATGATTCATTAACATCTGAACATAAAGATAGCCCCTAAAGTTGTATAAAAAGTTAATGCATAAAAGATTAAGCCTCTTTCAGTATTTCAACGCCGGGAACTCGGGCAGGAGAGCACCAGGGAGAGCTCGGCGGCCCCAGGGGTGCCTGTGGGGCAGGGACACCACGCGGGGCTCCCGCCGCTGAGGCCCAGCACGCCTCGGCCTGCGCGGCCCGGGCTGAGGGCCCGCGGCACCGGCACCGGAGACCGGGGACGGGAAGGGGCCGGGAGCCGTCGCCCCCGAGGGGCTGGCCGGGAGGAGAGAGGGGGCTGAGCAGCCACGGGGGCGGCGGGACCGGGGGACCTTGTTCAGCGGCCCGGCGAGGCGGCTCACGGCGCGGCCTGCGCACCCCCCACACGGCCCCCCCGCCGCGGCGGCGCCGGGCCGGCCCGCTGGGGAGGCGGGCTGGGCACGGGGGTCGGGGAAGGTCCGTACCGCCATAGAGCCACTCCTCCTCCTCGTCCCCGGCGGCCCCATCGGCGTCCGCCGACAGCCGCTCCGCCTCGCCGGTAGACATGGCCGCCTCCCGCGGGACGCGCGGGCCCGGCCCCGGCAGCGCCTCCCTCCGCCGGCCGCCCCGCCGCGCCGCCCCCGGGCTCCCCCGGCGCCTCGGACCGCGGCCAGGCGCTGCACGGGCGGGCGGCTGCGAACGCCCAACGCGGCCTCTCGCGGAGGATCCGCCGCCGCCGCCGCCGCCCGGCGCTTCCCCTCCCCCCGCGTGAGTGACACGCACAGGAAGCGGGCCCGGCCCGGCCCCGCGGCGCCCCGGGCACGGGCTGCGGGGGGCGGCCTGGCCGGCCCGGCCCCGGCACTGCCCTCCCCGCCGAGCCGCCCGGGCACCGTCCGTGCGCGGCCACTCACCGCGCCTGTGCTTTCGCCGCTCTGCCGAGGCGCGCTGCGAGAGCCGCCTTCCCTTCCTCCCGCTGCCGTTTGCTCTCGGCGGTCCTTGTGCTCTCCCGCCTCCCTGGACGGCCGTCCGTCCCCTCAGCAGGGATCACCGGCAGCATGGCGAGCTCCTCGAGAACATCCCTGCCTGTCTCCAGAAGCAGGACTTGGCTAAACACACGTACACTCCAGTGCCGTGCATCTGCTGGCGGCTGATGGCAGCTGCTGAGGGCGCGTAACCGCGGGGTAAACACGCCGTGCCTCTGCTAGGACTGTCCCTGGGCTCAGCGACTGTCCCAGCTGGACGTGGGATTTTAGGCTTAACAACTCTTCATAGATTTTTTTCCCTGCACAAATTTCCTGACTTTGTTTTTAGGTACAGTAAGGATTTGATATTTGTAGTGTGCCGTGAGTGTCACAACGTCTTTCTATATTCGAAGTGTTTCTATGAATTTCATTAATTCTATTTTAAAACCGATGGGGAGTAGTGGGCCATTTTTCCTGGTGATTTGCTCACTTTACATCTGTGAATGCTACACAACCGCAAGATGCATTAGAAGGGTTAAGTACCAACAACTGTCCAAATAAGTTTCAACCAGTTTTGTGTACAAATGGAGCTTGTGGTGTTTCAGGATGTATGTGAAAACTAAAACAGGGACCTGCTTTTTCACAGCAGGTCAGTTTGGGAAAAATCAGACTGGCACATAAAAAACTTGACTGTAACATAAACACAACTGTCAGTGAGGAGAACTTATTTGAATTGCCTGCATAGAGAAGCTTGTTAGAAAGTTTCATATACGGCATGACATTTCACTGGAAACTTTCATATACGGCATGACAGTTCACATGAACAACCAACCACTCAAAATTTTTTTTTCACCTAAAATTAAATGTCTGAGTATTGTGTACAGGTAATGAATTATGTGGTGTAATTGGGTAGGTTTTCATCTTGCTATTTCATATTTTTTATGCAAATAGTTGTGGAGTCAGCAAATGGTTTTCCACCATTTGGTCACTTGTTTCTCATAAGACAAATGTGTATATGTGGTACCTCTTCATAGACATCAGTGTCTGAATTTTCCTTCCTATTTTGTTTACTTTGCCATTTAACACAATTCTGGCTGACATTAAATGGCACAGCTGAATTCAAAAAGTTTCCTTTGGCTGCAGACCCAGAAGGAAGGAAGGAAGAAAGAAAGAAAGAAAGAAGAAGAAAAAAACCATGTTCAAGAAAACCACAACAAGAGTAGGCTAAGAGCAAAAAATATTTTTAAATACTTTGATGCAGATCATCCAAGCAGTTTTCCTTGTACAGACCTTTAAAGAGAAATCACAGAGAGCTGGTGGTGATGGAAAAGCCCACTTTGAACAGTTGTGGACTGTAAAAGCTGTTTCTTCTAAGGCTTTGAGTAGCTGAAAGGTTGAAGACAGAACTCATCTTTGCAAGCTGCATCACCATCTTCACTCACATGTTACACCCCAGAAACCCACAAAAAATACCAAGTTTATGGGAGCCCTTTAGTAGTACAGTTCTTCTGACACAGTAGTTGTCACCTTGCACAAGGGACAAAATAAGCTGTAAAAACTACTTAGATAATTTTGTTCTGTAATTTAACCATTGCACTTTAAACTGATTAACTTCATTTTGTCTTCTAGCAAGTAATTTTTTGGTTTTTTCAACACTGGCTAGTTGTAATCTATACAGTATTAATAAAGTAAAAAACTATTAGCTTTCTTTAAAAAAATCTGATGTTTTGACAATAATATCTGAAAAAAAACCTTTCAACCTATTAAAAGAGGTCAGACCCCCACCCCTTTTCTTTAATGGTTTTAAAGGTAAATAACCCATTTTAAATTGATGGGCAAGCCATAATTTGTCTAGATTTTTGTCTGTGGCACTCAACCATAAAGCAAAAACTCAGAGATACATAATGTCTGAAGTAATTCAGTCTGAGAGAAGGATAATTCTACTTGTTTATAAACTCAGGGGCCCAGTTTTAATTATCCACCATCCTTTCTTAGTGTTCATTTTTCAAATCAAATAGTCAAGAAGGGTATTAACTTACATATTTTTCTAGCATCATGAAGCTATATGCTCTAAGGTTAAAATAACATATTGATACTATAACAGCACAAAGAAAGGGAAGAATGCATCTGAGTAGCAATGTCAGTGGAGAACACTGAAAGGGAAGGATCTGATTTAATTTCTGGAAATCTAGTGATTTTGGTGTTACTCATGTTTTTCAGTGTTCTGAAACCATTTGTATCTGTAAGAGACCTAAGAACAGCAGTTAAGCTGGAGGGTGAACTTATTAAGTATTTTATCTCTTTATTAATTATTTATTATTATTTAATGATTAATAATGATGATAATCATCATTATGTCAGAAAAGGTGTATTCCTGGCTGTGTACCAAGGAGGCTTCCCAAGTGAGTACTGTGTGCAACAGATTTGCCAGTGGGCCATCCATTCTCTGGGGAGAAGAAACTGCGGGTGCTTGTTATGGTGCTTTTTCTCGTTAGCTTTGATTTCGAGATCAAGGGATTTTAAAGGGGAAAATGAAATTAAAATCATTTGTCATACGTCTCCTACTGTACAGAGAAAAGTCGCATTTACTGAGCAAGAGCACTCCGTGTTGCCAGCTCCTTCTCCAAAGCACTAGTTAACACTAACACAAGAAATACGCATTAGTTAACACCAACACAAGAAATACACAGCAGTAGGGCAGGGAGCAGCGATGCCAGCCTGGGCTCCCGGGTGCTGAGCACGCCGAGTGCCGGGGAGCCGGCGCAGTTCCCGCAGCGTCACCCGGCGGTGCCGCGGCGCGGGCGGGGCTCCCACACGACCGGGGAGCGCCACCGCCCCGCCCCGCGCGCGCGCAGCCAACCCGCGCCCGCCACGCCATCGCTCGGCGCCGGCGGCGCGCCCGGCACGTGCGGGTGTTGTGGCTGTCACCGCCATGGCGGTGCCGGAGGTGCTGCGGCAGCTGAGCCGCCGAGCCTGGGAGCCCGCGCTGGCCCGGGCGCACCGCGCCGCCGTCCTCATGGACGCGCCCTCCGCCGAGGCGCTGCACTGGGCCGGCGGGGCGGGCGAGCTGCTGGCGGCCGGGGCGCTGGCTGTCAGCGCGCTGTCCGCCGAGGCGGCGGTGCCGGCGGGGGCCGCCCGCGCCGTGTTCGTGCTGAGCGGGACGCTGCGGGGCGGCGCGGCCGCGGCGGTGCGCGGCGTGCTGGAGCGGGGCGCCGTGCGGCACTCCGTGCTGCTGTGCGGCGACGAGGCGGACGGCGGCGGGGCGGCAGAGCTGGAGGAGACCTTGCGGCGGTGGATGGGCGAGGGCGGCCGCGCCGAGGTGCTGCTGCGGGGCCCGCCGCTCCTGGCGCCCGTCTCGGCGGAGCTGTGCCTGCTGCCCGCCCTGGCAGCGCTCCTCCCGCCGCTGCCCGGCCCCGGCGGCCCCGGCCCCGCAGAGGTCGGGCTGGGTGCGCTGCCCGCCGAGCTGCGGGCGGCCGTGCGGGCCCTGGTGGGTGAGCTCGACTCTCTCTTCACCGCCCTGGGCCTGCGGGAGGAGAGCTTCGCTGTGGGGGCCCTGAGCAGGGTGGTCGCCGCTGAGCTGGCAAGCTACGCCTCAGCCAGAAACAGGAGGAGAGCAGCCACCAACAAGGCTTCTGTCATCTTCGTGGACAGGACGCTGGACCTCGCTGGTAAGAAATCCTCAGCTGGTTTGGGCTGTCATTCTACAGGGCTCATACCCACCCCACCGGGAGGGTGTCAGACAGTGGGAACCCTGGTGACCTGGTGTTACCAAAAATCCATATTCCATTTTGTACCGTGTCCTCCCATGGCTATGTAGCTCCAGTTCTGGGTCCTAGGTGGGATTGCTCTTGAGATCTGGTCTGCTAGAATTCACTTGTTCAGTGGTTACCAGGCAGTGGTGGTAGAACTCTGGGCTTCTTCTGTAGCTTGGAGAAATATGGCTGGGTTCAAAGCAGTAGTTCCTGTAAGTTCCAGATCATCCTGCTCCAGTAGGAAAACTTGGTGTTCAAGTATTCTACTGGTGGTACCCAGTATCCTCCATTCTGTTCCAAAACAGCTATTACCATGTGGGGTATGTATATGATAATCTTTTGTCCCAGTGTCAGTTTCATGCTTCCTGAATTAAAAGCCACTGCTCTCTAGCATCCAGATCATTCATTACTCGTGCTATCCAGTTGTTTGGCAAAGTATCTTACAGGCTGCTTCCATGACCCCAGATGCTGTGCCAATACCTCTAGTACCAGGTACATCCTTTCATGCAGAAATTGCTCAAATGGTTTGGTTAAGTGGTGGTCCCTGGGGATCAGTGACCCCAAAGTCATACTTAACTGCCTAATGAACTGGTGCTGCTTTCCAAATTTGGAGAAAAGCTGACATAACTGAGCTGGTTACTCTCCTGTTCTTCTTGGTTCATGTTTAACATGATCTTACAGACTAAGCAGTGTGCAGTTCCCTTGCTCAGGTTAGTGGTTTGAAGAGTAATTGTATTAAGCCACCAGGTATGCAAACAGTTCTTCATCTGGCAACACTGGGAGCATGTTTAATCCCATGGCCATGATGGTTGCTTGCACACCCTTGTATCCCAGTGGATCATAGAAATAAGGAGTAAGACTGAAGGCTGTGCTGCAAATCCATAACCTTGTTTCTAGCACTTCCATTTTGCTGCAAGCTAGAAACCTTAACTGTGCCTGTGTACCACCTTGAGGTGTGACGGAAATGATCTGCATCTTTCATACTAAGCCTTGTGGATTGCTGTGAAGGATCCGGTGAATCTATTTGTCACTCTTATCTTTATGTCTGTCTAGGCAGATACACCTCTCTGTGTAACCCTTAGCCATATCTGTGTGCCTGAAAGTGTTTCTGTAGGTATATGTATTGATATAGGAATGACTGCATTTGCTATCCCAGTCATACATACCTCCTGCTGGCATGCACAGGGTGTGGGCCTGGTTCTGTGTGTAGTCAATAATTGAGATCATAATTTTTTGCCACCAAAAGTTATGTAGCAAGTAATTGGCACGGTGTTGCACCCTGCAGCTTGTCTGTTTCTGAATTTTCCTCCATATTTTTTTTCCTCCCATAGTTTCACCATTGTGTGTCCTTGAACTGCTGTAGGGATCATAGCTATCCACAAGGTGCTAAAGAGCAGCTATGAATCAAGGCAGTTAATGCTGTGCTGAGGTTGGGAAGATCGATCAGAAGACTGCAGAAAAATGGACTTGGATAAGGAACCTTAAAATGAAATTATGAGAAGAGTGTTGGTTTGGGGTGAGAACAGGGAAAGGGTTTATTTATGCACTCAGATAGTGAGAAGAAATAAAAACAAGAAACAGAACCAGATTTGGCATGACAGGGAGCTGCCTGACAAGGAGACTCTTGGGTAGGTATGAAGAGAGATATTTAGTACTAGCTTAAACCTGGGAAGTGTAGAATCTTGTACTTCAGTAGGAGAAGATTTCTTGGAGATAATATCAGGGCTGTACTGAGCAACATTGGAAGGAAATATCAAAGCTCACAGAATAAGGATGAGAAGTTACAGGATTTGGTTTTTTAAGATTCTATTCTCAGTATCCATAAATGGAATTAAGATCCCTGCACACAGCCATTCTTTTGTTACCAACAAATGCCTCCAGATTTCATTGGTAATTTCATTGAATTATTCCTATAGTTTGGATGTGATACTTGGGCTATTAAATAGAATGCAAATTGAAGGAAGAAAAATCTCATGCATTTCAGAGGTAAAGCTGTATATGAACCTTAATTTAGTGCTACACAATAAGATTTGTTTCATTGGTCTGCTAAAAACTGTACAGTAAAGAATTCACTTTAGGGGAAGCAGGGGGTGTAGTTAGTGAGTTTCTGGCTGCTGTTAAAGAACTGCTTGGTTGACTTTGCAAATTGTGTCAGCTACAACTTGTATCAAATGTCACCTATTTCAGTTTGTAAGTTATAATGTAAAGAAAAAGTGAAATTAGAACAGCATGATACATGAGTTCTTGTATCCTGGAAGCTAGATGTTAGCCTGGCATGCAAGCTCCTGTTTTGCAGTGGTCAGATAAGTTGTTGTCACACAAACGCTCAGTCTGTCTGTACTTTGGCAGCATTCAAAACCATCAGCTGTGCCCTGAACACTGTTGCTCTTGAGAAGCTGCTGAGCAGTCTGTTGACTGTCCTCAGAAGTAGTGAGTAGAGAGGATCAAAACTAGTCCCATGCACCCTTCTGAAGTCAGTGCAGTCTAAAGTGACTCCCTCTGATTTCTTGTCCTAGTGAAGTTTAACAATCTCAAGAATTGAGATTGTCTCAAGAACTTCTTGTTCTTGTGAAGTTTAACAATCTTTTCAGGCTTGGTTAATTTATGCAGTTGATTGGGGTGGCAGTCACTTTGAAAACCTCCATGAGATGTTTTGTGGTTGTTTTGATGAAGCATGGCAAAGGCCAGTAGCACTGGTGGACCAGTGGAACCTCCAAGAAGTATCAGTTATGGGAATGAGACAGAGGCTCTCATGGAAGCAGCTCCAGTACTCTGAGTCTTCCCCCTATGCCAGGAAGAAAGGAGGGATGTCAATAATTAATGTGGGTTTATTTGCATTTGAGGTGTTTCTGGTTTGACCAAATGTCTTGTTTAAATAAATGTTGCTCACATGCAGCATGTGTGGAGAGGCAGATGTGGCTTCCAGTACATGGGGTGGAGGTTCAGAAGATTATTGTTGTTCTTCCTGTGCAACTTTGCAACTGTTGCAGTGTGCCTTACACATGACTGATCTAGTAAGAGCAATGTAGGGATTTTGGAGAACAAGACAGCTTAGGGAGTCACAAAGAGAGCCCAGCTCATTCCATCTGTATTTCACTGGTCTAACTCTGGCTGGGAATGTTAGAAAGGGAAGTTGCTGTTATTCTGTAATTGTTGCAGTTTTTGGTGAAACAAATGAGTAATAAACCAGCTGAATGGTCAGATGTCCATGCTGCAGTACCACCCTGTGTTGGACACTTGTGCCTTCTTTGCTTTCTGTGGATAAAGGTGTTGCCATCACAGAGTTTGGCTTCACTTTTATTTTCCTTTTTCATCCTTGTTTCTCTTTTCAACAGTTTGCAGTACAGAAAAGTGGATAGACCATGGAAAACCATGGCTTACAGCCTGGATACCTGGCTGCTGTAGAATTGCTGGAGACAGTCTTCTGCTTCTGCTATCCAAGAGCACTTAATAATCTGACCTTAGCAATGTACTTGATGTAAGAGCCTTGTTTGGATTTATGGAGCATGTGAAGCTAATTCAGCTGTTGAAACAGATATTCTCTGTCTATGGAAATGATGAAAACATAAGAGCAGATACTGCCACACAGATGGACTTAGATGGAGTGGAACCATAGCCTGAGAGAACTTTTTCCTGCCTCTCAGTCATGCTTCAAAAGTTCCCAATTTTCTGTTATTAAAGCTAGCACAAGCAAAACTAAGCTCAGCTTTGCTGCCCAGCCCTGTGTTGATGGCTGAACCTTAGCTTAAGTGGCAGACAACAAATAACTTCAACTTGTTCCTGACCTAAAGGCAATAAGGTTCCTGATCCCTCTCTCTTGAATTTTTTAACTGTAGTGTGTATAATGTTTTTCTGCTTTGACTTGGCTCACAGCCCTAATATTTTTTAAGTTGGTTGTAGAGCCTGTGTTGGAAGTTCATGAATGGAAAGAAAAGCATGTGTGTTTGAAATCAGGAAAATTGAAGAAAACATGCCAGCTGGAGTTCAGAGTTTCTCTTGGAATATGGTCAAATTGACATTTTATACTTTGTAACTTGGGTTGGTTTAGTTATTTCATGTTTGTTTCACCTGAGCTGCCCTCAGTTCGTACAAAAGTGATATGATCTTGATTGTGGCATGCCATTGATAATTGTTTATTTTAATATTAGGCTGGCCTGTCTGGGTAGTTATTTATGCAATTTGTATATAGTCCTTTTAAGCACAACCCTAGTAGTTTATGCATGTGAGTGTATATTTAAATATTTGCTTGGTTTTTTAATAACCATTGCAAATATTATTTAACAAGTTCCTTAGGCAAAGAAAAATGTTTTTCATGTCTAAGTGTAAAATCAGTGAATATCTAACAGCTGTAAAACTAAGTCTAATTTAACAGTAATAGTAGTAATGCTAATAGTGCTTTTTAAATGAATCTTTCTGAAATGTTGTAGGTGCTTTTAACTTTACACATTTTAGAAATTAGTTTTACTTTTGTAGAAAAATATTTTTGAAAGCTAAATGTGGTTTTGATATTAGCAGTACCAGTGTCCTTCTCCCCAAAACATGTCGTTATTTTCTTTTCAATTCCTTGTGTTTATTTGTTTTTCTAGCTATGCACCTGATAGTTTTTGGGTTTTTTTTTTGTTTTTTTCCATTTTCTTCAGGAGCAGTTGGTCATCATGGTGACAATCTTGCAGAGAAGATTCTTTCTGTGCTTCCTAAACTTCCTGGCCACAAGACTGATGTAATGGTTAACATGGTGGAACTTACAGCACTGCAGACCACAGATGAAACTTGCAATATTATAGCACCTGGCTGCTTAGCACAACCAAAGTAAACATTCTTTTCTTCTTTTTTTTTTTTTTTTTTTTTTTTTTGTATTTTTTATATTTTTAGTGTTGAATGTGTTTGTTATCTCTATGTGAAAAAATGAACAAAGAACAAGTCTTTAAAAAAATGAAACAAAAGAAAACAGTCAAGCTTACAACAAAACCCCATCTGGTTGTAATTCTGCTGGAATGTAATAGTCTGTATGTGTGCATTAAGTGAGTGGGCCAGATAAGACTTCCAATAGTGGAAGAATCTCAAGACCTTTTAGATTTGGGTTGTTTAAATTGCTGTAGATCACTGTAGCAGAAATCAGTGTAGATTAACACCAAAAATTCTCTTTGTGACATTTCTTTTTCTGCCTAATAGGTCGTGCAAACAGGTTGGTCTCAATGGTGACTTCCTTTTCCCGTAAGCCTCTTCATAAAGTTAGCTGGATGCTGAATTTAATTTAAGGTTATATCCCTGTTTTCAAACACAGTACCTGTGGAGAAGGATAATAAGGCACAAATTCATGTATACAGGCAGCCTCATGGGGGCCTGATTTTTACTTTAAAAAGAGCAACCAAAAAGCAGTAACTTCAGACAATTGTACTTAGCTATGTATAATGTGTAGCTAAGACTTTACAAGTAAAGTGCATCAGATTTGATGTTTGACTTTCTACATTTAGTTGTCCAAACCAAAACTCTCCTGCAGCTTCTGTTACTATGTAAAAACAAGGAAACATACCAGGTGCTGGTTTCACTCCTCAATAAATATTTTTCTCAGCAATGCTTTAGAAATTTATACAGTGCAAAGGAGATTAAAAGTTCTTTCTCTTTTACTATAATGCTCTCCTCATATAGTAGAAAATGGTTTTTTGAGATGGGCTATTTAATACAGTTTCTATTCTTCTCTTTTGATTTGTTTTGTGATTTTGCACCTGCACTGTATCCTTTTTCTTCCCTTCTCCCCCAACAATGATTTCACAGATTTCCACTGTTAGCTGCATATGGTCTTTATTTTCTGAGAGCCTCCAGATCCTTTGTCACCTTCCATCTCTCACATGTGCTGTAACTGGGTCCAGTTTCTACATTTTGTATTGCATACCTCTTTTCTTCCATAGAAGTTGGAGAGGAAATGTTTCCTCATAGAGGTGGACTCAGTTGTAACTTGCTGCCAGGGTGACTAGCTTAAATAAAATTTGTTCTGGTTTGCTTCTCGCTGTCTGCTTTCCCACTGATTCCTGAAGTAGAAGTGAAATGTCTTTAAAGATCTGTCTACACAGTAAAATGAAGAGGCCATTGTCCATAGTAAAACTTTGTGGTATCTTTTTGTGCTAAATTTGAGTAGCTACCATTAATAAAGAAAATTCTGTCAGTGTGGATTAGGAAAAAAAAAATGATATTTACTGCCCTGAGATTGTTGACCTGTGCTACCACTCTATTCTTTCTCACATCATTATAGACAATGAGGAGACTAAAGGTAGTGCTGGTATGCCTTCCCATGGCTAAATTATTACTTCAGTCATGTATTCATGTTGTTAGTAACAGCTGACAGAGTTGTACTATGTTCTAAGGTGGCTAGTAGTATAGATTTATATCGAGGTTTGTTTGTCTATTTGCTGGCTAATGAAAAGGTGCCCTCTGTTAACAGTAGTTAGTCTTAACATATTTTGCAGTCTCATATGGACACAGCTGGTAAAGAACAGCAGGGTTTGGCTACAAGATGCAAGTGTGGCAATGTTGGATGACAGCAGCTGATACCTGGTACCAAAGTAGTGGTGCCATTAACACACTGATCTATAGCAGCTTCTCCAAAGTACCCTCCCTCTGCAAACTCATGGTACAGAATCTGTTACACTGGAAATTTTTAGGAACAGATCAGGCAAATAATTTAAACTGTCTTAATCTTGCCTTGTAGCACAGCAAAGGGACAACATGACCTCTGAAAATCTCTCAGGTTATCAATGTTCAGAACAGAAGAAGAGCTGTGGGCCTTAGAAGAGTCTCCAAACTCCAAGTGACACTGTGATGTTCAACCTGTTTTTCGCTTCTTCTCCAACTATATAATGATCAGGGATAGTTCCTAGTTTAAAATAAGCACTTCCAAACTAGCTTAAGACAATTGATGAAGAGTGCTTGAAACCATAACAGTGGCTGAAGGCAGTAATTTCCATTCTGTTCAACAGGCCTATTTTCAGTGTTGGCTTACAAATGCTAACATTAATCATCTTTGCTAGTGTAAAATGGTTGTTTTTCTGAAGCACTGAAATGGATTAAAAATTCTCACCAGTAGGTTTCTGTGTCAATTCCATAAGAAATTCCTTAGGACGTTCTCAATTCCTCATCAGCTTGGTTGTTGCCCTTGGTAGCTGGCTCAGAAATGTTTCTTATAATTGGAAACTTAAGCCTTCATTTGTATTTGTAAATGATGCATGGCAAGGAGGGTTCCTCTGCTTGTAAATTTTCTGTTTACTCTGGTGAGTGAAAGTGCCAGCCCTTTCCCCAGAGATAGGACCAGCGACTTCAGTTACACCCAGATGAAATGTGGGGGGGCTCTTTCACATGAAATTTTGTGGTCAGACTGTGGCATTTCAGACTCACATATTCAGAATATTTTTAAAATGTTTTCATTGTTTTCTCTCAAGTAATATTTGAGCATGCTGTAGTGAGGGGAGAGAGAGAGTCTGGTCCTTGCATACAGCTTGCTATATTTAACTTCTCTTATGGCATGCCACTCCAGCTGAAACATCTGGGCGCAGTTACAGAGTTAGCAAACTGAATTAATGAATAATTTATGGTTGGTGTGGTGAAATAAAGCAGGGTTCTTTTCTCAAATCTAAGGAAATAATGGGCTTCTTTTAAGATTTAGATGAAAATGTAAATGCCATATGCTGCTTGAGTAACTGTACTTTGAAGGTGCTCTCTTTGTGAGGGAGGAAATTTCTTAAAAAAAACCACCAAACTATTCTACAGTTCTTGATTTTTTTTTAGTTTTATTAGCCTCAAAAATCTCACAGAGTAATTGTTTGCCCTACTGTAGTCACTGACATGCTGCTGTTCCTGTGTGGATGATAGCAGAGTTATGCTCTTTCAGAATTGTGCCAAAATATTTGATTCATTTTTATATACAGATGGATGTACACAACAGAAGGGAAACAGTTCGTAGGTATTTATTTGAAAGACAACCACTCTTGATGAGAACTGTTGGTGTCTGATTCAGAAAAGTAGAAGCCATCCTGTCCTTTCAAACAGATGATGCATAATAGAGGTGAAGTTGTAGTGACAGCTTAGTGGTAGGGGTGATTTGAAAAAATTGATTACAGTTCTCTTGCTGGTCTTTGTACTTTGATAACCCTTACAGTGTTTTTGGAGAACTTCTTCCAGATTTCAGCTTCTGATTTTAAGCATGCATGTAGTGGCTTCTAGGTGTTGTCTGTTTGGATGAACGTCAAGCTCTGTGTATTTGTGAGCAATCCATCCTGTAAATTTGGTAACATTTTAGTCACAATGTTTCTCAAAGCACTCATCTGGTGTTTTTAAGATCCTTTTTTAGCATGTTGAAGCCTCTTGTTGTCAGTAATTATTTTGATGGAAGTTTATCTTTTCTTACTCTTGTGAGCTGGGAGCTGAGGTGCATGAAGCCCCTGTGGCTCCCTAAAACCCCAAATGAGGGTTCAGATGCCTGACTCTGATCACAGGCCTGTGGTGTGTGAGAAATAAAGATTTATGTACACTGTGGGCAACCAAAGGAATATCTGTTTACTCTTTTTCAATATGCTCTTTTATTAGCCAGGAACACTTTTGATGTGCTCTCCTATTTTGCTGAATAGACTGAATATTTAATTTGCTTATGCACATTTTAAGAACTCTCTGAATGAAGGTTTCTTGCCTGTTTTTTCACTCTTGCTTCCTTTCTCCAATGTTTGAAGTTTGCAGACTTCTTAGAATTCAGTCTGGTGTTAAAATCTTTTAAAAAGTCCAGATTTTTTATTTAAAATATGTATGTGTTTAATACAATATACAAAGAACCATTGGACTCCTACAACAAGCGTATTTCCATAAAGATGAAATACTTTAATGTAACACAGTTCATGTTTGGGCTGCTATGCCTAAAGCAATTCAATAAGCAATATAGCTGAGCTGTTTGGGCACTTTTGACAGAGCAGGTGGAGCCTCTAAATCATCTGTATTTACATTGGGGGGAGAAATAACAAGTTGAGAATGAAGTGGCCATGTTGATGGGTGTGATGCAGAAAGCATTTTTATGCAGGCCAGATGTTTGAATCACAGCACCCACAAACATCTTTCTTTAGATCTTGTATTAGTAGTGGAAAGGTAGGTGTGATGGGGGAGTGGGCTGAAAATTAGGACATTCCTGGACATAGAATGATGAAATTTCAGTGTCTCATGTTAGTGAAAATACATACTTCTCCCAATCATTCTTAGTTCTGAAGTTGTTATTCACATTTTGGACTGATCAGTACTTTTTAAAAATGCTACAATTTGGATGGAGAAGAAAGCCTTGCTTCAGCTGCATCTTTGCATTTGGGTGTGATGTGATGATTCAATGCTCCTCTGGTACTGGTGGGACTTGGATAACCCCAAACCTAAAGGAAGGCCATGAGGTGAAAGCACTTGTATTCCAGTCCTGGTTCTGCTTTCAGCTTGCAGCATGATCTCAGACAGGTCACTTAATTCCTTTCTGCCTCTGATTCCTCTTGTAGTTCTTCTCCAAGGAACTTGTTTTCCAAACCAGGAAAACAGGGAGTTTCTCAGGATGCAAATTTGCATACTGAAGGCAGAAAAATCCTAGGGGTTCTGATGTTTGGGGGTTCAAGTAACAGTGCAGACGGGTACAAGGGGAGTTAAGGTGTCAGGACTACTGAACACAGGATCTCCATTTGTGCTTTCTTTTATACTATGTTCTTCCCACTCCTGCTCACAGTGCTGTGTTGCCCTGGGGAGAGGAGGCAGTTTTGAGTTGCATTCACCTGTTCCCCTTTCCAGGGAACTGATGGAAC